ACGCAACCTCAGCAGATCTCTTCCTCCACCTCCAAGAGCCGGGAGTTGGACCAGAGCTCTGGCAGCTGCACCTGCCACCATTGGGGAGCCCAAATGAATCATTGCTGTGACTGAGTCTTTTCCTTTGGGGCCCAGTGAAGCCTCTGCTTGTTTTTAACGGTGTTGGCTTAATTCTGGCTCCTGCCCTGAACTGAATGTGAAGATGAGACTGTTTTACCTTGTCCATGCTCTCTGATTATACCACATCAGGACTGTTGCCACTTCCCACTGCTCCGTGGCAGCCCCTCTGAGTACCACCCACGTTGGCTGACTATGGGATGATAGGACAGAGAAGGAACAAGCCAAGGAGCAAGATGGAGGAGACTAATAGGACGCAGAGGCCACTCGTAACACCTCAGGCTTTTTAACTGGAAGGAATGTTAATGGTCACCTGGGTCACTTGATCTCAGTCTCCTTAGGGCCACAGATCTCTTTGATGATCAGATGAAAGTGGTCAAATTCTCTTTCCAGAAAAATACACCTTCCCAAATTCCAGGATATCTCCCAGAATCCCTGAAACCCATTTTTCGTAGAGATGGAGTTTCACCATGTTGGCCAGGCTGGTCTTGAACTCCTGACCTCAGGTGATCTGCCCACCTGGCCTCTCAAAGTACTGGGATTACAGGTGTGAGCCCACCATGCCCGGCCAGATAACTGAATTTAAACTCAGCTCTCCTGATTGCCAATGTAGGACCCGTCAGCCCATAGTAGGTTGTCACCCTGCGCTGAGCCCTATGGCGGCAATTGTGGGAAATTAGGGTGCTTACAGCCAAGGAAATAGGATCTCAGACTCGCAGGAAAAAAAAAAAAAACTAAGATCAATGAGTAAGCAATATTCCTGCCATAGAGTCCTCTTTGGAAGATAGAAGCTAATGTCTTCCATTAGTTGACCAGGCAATTATTGAGCGCCTATGAGCATCTCTTAATCTCTAATCACTGGGAGATTCATTATTTATTAGAAATTGAAACTCGCCTGTAATCCCAGCACTTTGGGAGGCCGAGGTGGGTGGATCACCTGAGGTCAAGAGTTCTAGACCAGCCTGGCCAACATGGTAAAACCCCATCTCTACTAAAAATATAATAATTAGTGTGGTGACACTCCACAGTGAGATGGAGTCTCACTGTGTTGCCCAGGCTGGAGTGCAGTGGCACAATCTCGGCCCACTGCAACCTCTGCCTCCCGAGTTCAGGCGATTCTCATGCCTCAGCCTCCTGAGTAGTGGGGTTCACAGGCATGTGCCACCATGCCCGGCTGGGGTTTCACCATGTTGACCAGGCTGGTCTCAAACTCCTGACCTCAAGCAATCTACCTGCCTTGGCCTCCCTAAGTGCTGGGATTACAGGTGTGAGCCACTGCACCCAGCTGACAGCCTATTCTTTTCTTTCTTTTGCAGCACATACTCTATTCTGCCTTGTATTTTTGGTAATAGCTCCCCAGTCTGTCTCTCCTACTAGATGATAACCTCTCAAGGGCTATCTTTGTAGTCCCTCAAGCCCAGGGCAGCACTTTGTATGCAGTGGGTATATCAGTCAGGGCCCAATCAGGAGACAGGAACCACACAGTAATTTGAATAGGAGAAATGTAATAGAAGGAATTATTGATCTCTGATAGGAGCAACTGTAAGGATGTAAAGGGAACTCCACAGGGTACCCTAAGGCTGAGAGAGAATACCCAGAAAGGACAAAGTTGGAAGGGGCCCCTCTGCATGGCTGGGGTTCAGACTTCATTGGAGAAGGTGTGGTTGTAGCCCACAGGATGGCGGGAAGTTCACGAGGTTGACCTGAGCCAGGGCTGGTTCACAGTGGTTGAGGAGCAGAGCGCCCTCTGGGGTGCAGGCCTGAGGAGGTTGCTGGACAGGTGTGTGTGTGAAGAGAGAGTCAGGCACGCTGCCAGTGCAAGGCCTGCAGCATGCAGTGCCTGCAGCAGGAGGGCCACCGTGAAGTGGTTACTGGACCCAGGCTAGGGCTGCAAGGTCACTGAGCAACCGTGCACTCTAGGCATGCAGCTGGGGCAGAGCCTGACTGAAAGTCCCCACAGACAGACTCTGCAGCCCAGCAACATCCAGATCTGAAGGAGAAATCCCCTTCCTCTTGCAGTTGCCTTCCAGGGCCCCCTACTGATGAGGCTCACTGTAAAGGAGAAATGCTTACAGGGTCCAGTCCATGATCTCAGAGCAGAGGCATAAGGGCGACTTTGGAACTGAGGCAATACTGTGAAACTGCAATGGGTGCAATGGGGGATCAATAAAATGTTTGAATTAAATCAGGGAAAGCTACACAACCTATCATGCCCCCCTTCATCCCTGCTTAGTTCCCTTTCTTTGAGTCCTATAGATTTTACTACCAATAAATGTCAAACCTTTTTAATTACTTTTGTAATTTACTCTCTGGAAGCTCATTTCCCTCTGGGGTATTCTCTGTGTGTGTGTTTGTGTGGTTTTTGTTGTTGTTGTTTTTGAGACAGAGTCTCACTCTGTCAACCAGGCTGGAGTGCAGTGGCACAATCTCCACTCACTGCAATGTCCACCTCCCAGGTTCAAGGGATTCTTCTGCCTCAGGCTCCCAAGTAGCTGGGATTACAGGCGCATGACATACGCCTGGCTAATTTTTTTTATTTTTAGTAGGGATGGGGTTTCACCATCTCATCATGTTGGCCAGGCTGGTGTTGAACTCCCAACCTCAAGTGATTCCCCCACCCCCACCCCTGCTTCAGCCTCCTGAAGTGCTGGGCTTACAGGTGTGAGCCACCGTGCCTGGCCTCTGTGTGTCTTCTTAACGAGGCACTTGTCTCTCTTAGCTCACACTTAAAAGAGATTTGCAAAAAGAAAGAAGGAGCAGGGGGACTGGCTCTTGCAAACAGTGTGAGACCCAGTATTTTATTTCACAACTTATTTCTCCACTTGAACTTGAACTTGTTTCTCCACTGTCTGTTTCATTTCGAGGCAGTCCACTTGTCCCTCCCAAATGCTTTAGGAGTGTCCTGAGGCACTTGACTTCAAGTAGCCGTGGAAAGAATCAGAGTTCACTCAAGAACCAGTCTTTCTCTGACTTGAAGGAGAAGTCAGTGGCCACCTTGGGTCAGACTGGGGAGTTAATCTCCTTGGACAAATCTGAAGAGTCTAGTCTCCAAATATTTAGAAGAGAATAGGCAAGAAGCGAAGAACCACCAGCAGACTTGGAGGATAATTTCAACACAAATATTATTCAGAAAGCATTTAGAAAGGACTGATCATTTCAAGTAACTTGAGAATCCAACCAAGACAAGTTGAGCCTATACAGAACCCTTCAGATGCCCTCTTGTGGGAGACTGTGTTATTAATAGGCACCAAATTTGGGTTAGGACAGTGTTCTTGGGTATCAACCACCCTGTTCTTCCAAAATACTGCATTCTCTCCTGAAGAGTCAGATGTAATTAGTGTTAACTGGAGATTCCCTCCAGGAATGAGCTAAACAGTGAGATGTGGTTACAGTTAAGACTTCCTCTAAGAATGAAGTGGTTGTCCAAACTTAAATCTGTTGGCCAGGCATGGTGGCTCACGCCTGTAATCCCAGCACTTTGGGAGGCCAAGGTGGATGGATCACTTGAGGTTAGGAGTTCGAGACTAGCCTGGCCAAGATGGTGAAACCTCGTCTCTACTAAAAATACGAAAATTGGCCGGGCTTGGTGATGGGCACCTGTCGTCCCAGCTACTCAGGAGGCTAGGTCAGAAGAATCGCTTGAACCCAGGAGGTGGAGGTTGCAGTGAGCCGAGATCCCACCACTGCACTCCAGCCTTGAGACTCTGTCTCAAAAAAAGAAAGCTGTTTGTCATCCTGCAGAAGGATGATGATCCCTTTAGACCAGAAAGATGACAATGAGAAGAACTAGAAGAACTTTTTTTTTTTTTTTTTTCTTTTTTTGAGACAGTCTCACTCTGTCACCCAGGCTGGAGTGCAATGACACAATCTCAGCTCACTGCAACCTCTGCCTCCCGGGTTCAAGTGATTTTCCTGCCTCAGCCTCCCAAGTAGCTGGGATTACAGGCATGCACCACTATGCCCGGCTAATTTTTGTATTTTTGGTAGAGACAAGGTTTCACCATGTTGGCCAAGTTGGTCTCAAACTCCTGACCTCAAGTGATCCACCCGCCTCGGCCTCCCAAAGCTTTGGGATTACAGGCGTGAACCACCATGCCCAGGCCGACATTTATATCTACATATCGCGGCTGTGTTATTATTATTATTATTATTATTATTATTATTTTGCAAGTGATATGCATTCTGGGCCAGTGGGACCTAGGTCAGATTGGCAGGAAACTATCTCAGTGTCTTGCCAAGCTTTACCTTGTTATCTTTATATGTGCAAGGGAAATTGTGCTCTTAAATGATCAAGAAAAATCAGCTATGTTTCCCCTGGGTAATGAGATTGTGGTTTATTTTCTTTTTTTTTTTTGCTTATCTATATTTTCTGCAATGAGCATGTACTATTTGTGAAACTAAATATATATAAAAATATATAATATATATTTTTAACGTGTATATATATCATTTTAATTTTAAAAAATATACTCTTTCTAACTCTTGGCCTATATCCCTTTTTGACACAAATTTAGCCAGACCCTTTCCAACCTCTTTACTCCTCCTGTTCAGGTGAACTGCCAAAAATCAGCAGACTTCAGTTTGGGAAGAGATTTTTTTGGAAGAGATTCATTTCCTCACTCTTGAACTTCTAAAAACAGCCCAGTTTTTCTTCTACCTCTCACCAAGCAGTGATTGATGCTACACCTGCCTCTGATGTGACAAAACCGAAGCCATGAATCAAAGCTTTCCATGATTCTTGCGCATTCTGAGGCTGGTGAAAGCACTAGCCGGGGGCACTGGGACGTGTGAAGATGCTCTGTGTGGGGGTTACTCTGCCTCAGGCACTTTGGAGGGTAACACCTGCTATCACTAACCTTTGATATGTTGCTCTGCTTTTTCAGATTTTCGACAATGAAGCCAAAGACCTGGAGAGAGAAGTTTGCTTTATTGATATCGCCTGCGATGAAATTCCAGAGCGCTACTACAAAGAATCTGAGGTAAGCAACATTTGGGATGAGATGTGGAAGAGATTCATTCATTCATTCATTCATTCATTCATTCATCCCGCAACTATTTCTTAAGGGCCTCCTAACTCGGGAGGGTGCCATCTCTCGTTGTGTGGATTCAATTTGTTTTCATGTCTTTCTGGTTCTTTTTGCGAGTCTCAAAATTAAGTCCCTAACTCTTCAGGGACCATCATTGGCCCTGGCCGTTACTCAATTTCCACTTAGTTTTCCTGTCTCCCAACTCTGCCGTCATTTTTTGGCAACGTCAGTATCCGTAGGGCTGGGCCATCCAACACACTGGCCTCCCTGAAACACAACAGGCAGTCTCCCCAATCTCATGCTTTTTTTTTTTTGAGATGGAGTCTCGCCCAGGCTGGGTTGCGGTGGTGTGATCTCACTGTGATGTCTGCCTCCCAGGTTCAAACAATTCTTCTGCCTCGGTCTCCTGAGTATCTGGGATTACAGGCGCCCACTACCATACCTGGCTAATTTTTGTATTTTTAGTAGAGATGGGGTTTCACCCTTTTGGCGAGGTTGGTCTCCAACTTCTGACCTCAAATGATCCGCCCACCTCGGCCTCCCAAAGGGCTGGGATTACAGGCGTGAGCCACCTGTGTTTTATCTGTATCTGAATCAATCCTTGAAAACTTTGATAGCTCATTCCAGCACAGCTCCTTTCTCTCAAAACAGCAAGCACCTTAGTGAGGGCATCTCCTTTGTTCTTGGCTGAGAATAAATTTCAGAGAACTTCTTTCTCTCTGGTTTTCAACCTACCAGGATCCATCCTTTGCCTTAGTTCTACCTTCCTGCTATATGGTTTGTGCGAGTCACCATTTATATCCCATTAGTATTTTATTAATGGCTGCTGATGGAACTTGGGTGACCCACTTGTATATAACATCCTAGCCCTGCAATGACAGCAGATGCAGGGCTATTTTTGTTGGTTAGCGACATGCCACCAATCCCAATATGTTTGGAATCAGGGCCCCAGACTCGTCCTCGAACCGTAACACGTGGACCTTGAAACTCTTCTCCCAGAGTCATTAAGGCTGATGGGAGACACAATAAATAAACTTGTTCAAAATGAATTCTGTCGTTACACAAATAAACCAGGCTCCCAGCGTGGTTCGGATTTCTTTTGCCTCCACATTTTGGCATTCGTTTCGGTATGAAAGTCTTACCTGATCTTAGCAGATGCTTGGCTGCTTAATTGCAGGCACGTGTCTTCAGCTGCTGTCCCTGAAAGGGATGGGGAGAGGCTGATGTGGATCACTCTGTGTTGCTCATCTCCACCCAAAGGGTGAGCGTTTTAACATCATCAACTTTCATTGTGCTCTGCGGCCAACCACACCTATGCATTTTAAGATAAACAAAGTTAAATGCTCTCTGCGTAACTGTGGAACCGCTGAAGAGGGAAATAAACAGGGCACCATTGACCTTCCCCTTGTCTCACTCCGTGGAAATCCTGTAGTTTCATGTCAAGTCCGCCAGTGCTTAATGGAGTCTGATGATGTCCAGAGCATTGTGCAAAGCACTCCTGTGACGCCTCCGGCCCCCCTGGGCTGCTGTCCTACCTGGACCTCCCCGCCTCTTTGGGGCCTTCCAGGAAAGCAGGGGTGCCAGAAAACTCTGAACTAATTTCAGCTTTTCCTCCCAGTGTGCTTTGGCGTGGCTCTGCCTGGACTTCAGGGAGTTCCCTCCTGATTCAGTAGGAAGTCTTGATACAAATAGAGAATTTTAATGAAGAAATCAAGTCTCATTTCTAGTCAACGTGCCTGACTCATTTCCCTGTGCTCTGTGCCCCCAAAGAACCTCCACTAGAAAGCTTCCTTTCATTCACATAGACATTCGAGGAGCTTTTCCCTCATGCTTCACAGAGTCGCTCATGGGCACGTCCATACCTCTTTCCCTGGGTCCTAAAGTATTCTTCCCTGGATGCAGTTTGGCCAAGATGAGTGGTAAAGAGTCCAGTAATTATTCATCCAATAAATATTTATGGAGCCCTCACTGAGTGTCACGTACAATGTTAAGATGAGGATGTCTGGGCATGGTGGCTAACACCTGTAATCCCAGCACTTTGGGAGGCCGAGGCAGGCGGATCACTTGAGTTTAGGAGTTCGAGACCAGCCTGGTCAACGTGGCGAAAACTCTACTAAAAATACAAAAATTAGCTGGTAGGGTGGTCAGCTACTCGGGAGGCTGACGCACGAGAATTGCTTGAACCCAGGAAGCGGAGGCTTTGACGAGCTGAGATCGCAACAGAGTGAGAAACTGTCTCAAAAAAAAAAAAAAAAAAAAGGACACAGCAGCAATGAGCCAAAGAGATACCTAGGGTCCCTCCCCTCAGGACACTTCCAATTTAACAAATACCACACAGAGAGTATTTGGCGAACAGTAGAGAAATAGTCACACAGATACATATGGAGTTCAGAGTCACAAGTGCAGGAAGTCAGGTACAGGGAGAGACTGTGTGAGGAAACTGCATTTAAGAGGATAGGATCAGGAGATATGCTATGGAAAAAATGACAGTTCAAGCCGGGCGCAGTGCTCACGCCTGTAATCCCAGCATTTAGGGCCAAGGCAGCAGATCACCTGAGGTCAGGAGTTTGAGACCAGCTGACCAACAGAATGAAACCCAACTCTACTAAAATACAAAAATTGCCCAGGTTAAATAAATAAATAAATAAAGTTGAGCGCGTCATAACGATAAATTACTACTTTTTAAAAAGATTGTTCTGGTGGAGAATGGACTAGAGAAGAGCAGAGTCAGGAGACCACCAAGGTCACTAATCATTATTTATGTTATCAGTTACTTAGGTGCTATCGTGGCTTGCCTAGAGGGCTGGCGCGAGATGGAGAGAGCAGATGGTTTCGATGTATGGTTTTGAAGATGAGGATGAATTGGCAGGGATTGGCTTTACGGATTGGATGTGGGGATGAGGTTGAAGGAGGAGTTGGGATTGGCCTTAAGGATTCTGGCTTGAGCGACTTGATAGATGGGGGTGCTGCTTACTGAAATGGGAAGATGAAAAGAGAGGTGTACGTTGGAGAAAGATGCGTGGATTTTGTGATGTCAGTGAGGCAGCTAACACAAACAGAAATGAGTCGGAGCTTAGGCGAGAAGATTCTGGCTGGAAGACAAAACTCGAGAGTATTTGGCGAACAGGAGGATTTTAAATCCGGGGATGGGGATGAGAGGAAGAAAGCTGAAAGTATAAATGGGAAAGGGGGTTCAAGTCCGAGCCTTCAAGGATGGCAGCCAGCTGCGATCAGGTCGAATCTAAAGAATCCAGGCATCTAAAAGAATTGGTCAGAAAAGTTAGGACGAAACAAGGGAAATGCCACCAAGGAATGTAAGGTTTCAAGAGGAAGGAAGAAGTGACCAGAGGTGCTGAATGCTGCCAAGAGATCGAGTAGAAGAAGAATGGAAAACTGTCCGCCTAGAAAGTTCTCCACTGGGGGCGATTATTGCCTCAAACGAGGAATGCTTGGCAATGCCTGTAACATTCTCAGTTGTCAAAAACAAGGAGGCTACTGGTATCTAGAGTGTAGAGGCCAGGGATGCTGCTAAAATCCTCTACAGCACAGAACGCCCCTCACAACAAAGAATTATCGGAATCCAGCCGGATGCGGTGGCTCACACCTGTAATCTCAAAGCACTTTGAGGCTGAAGCGGACAAATCAAAGGTCAGGAGTTCAAGAACCAGCCTGGGCCAACATGGTGAAACCTCGTTTCTACTAAAAATACAAAAAATTAGCTGGGCATGGTGGTAGGTGCCTGTAATCCCAGCTACTCTGGAGGCTGAGGCAGGAGAATCACTTGAACCTGGGAGGCCAAGATTACACCACTGCACTCCAGCCCAGGCAACAGTGCAAGACCCCATCTCAAAAAAAAAAAAGAATTATCTGGCTCCAAATGTCCATAGTGCCAAGGCTGGGAAACCTTGTTCTACAGGAAGAGGTGATTGAAGATGGATGGAACTCTGGATTCAGCTTTGATGCTCAGGGCCACCCCTGGCCTGTCCTAGAGTCTTAGGGTTACTGAATGGATGCGGGAGAAGGGGGCCCATAGGGCTGAGCCCTGCACACTCATCATCCATTGTGTGACCTCCCAGGGGATCTGCTGGCCTCTGTAACAGGTGGAATTCCTCCTCCATGGACCTGGCAGCCGGATCACAAAGGGCTACAGGTACCACTGGGAGCCTGCAATAAAATCTTAGAAAAAACATTCCCCCAGGGGCGACTCCCTTGTGACCCCAGCCCCACCATCTTCAACAGGCCAGAATACAGACTGCAGTCTGAATCCACCCGAAGGAAGAAGGGTGAGTTTCCTGGGCTGTTTTGGTGGTTGTGTCTACGGTAAACATGCCAGGGACTGGGAGTAAGAGGAACAACAGATTCAGAAGGCAAACCATTTCCACTCAGACAGAAATGTCTAACTGGCACACTGTAAATAATTAACACCCTCCACCCCACCGCAGGAGTTTCCTTCTAAAATGAAATCTGACCTTGTTCTGTGCTTAAAACCCCTCACTGGCCCTCCTTTAGAGTTCAGCTCACACAGGACTCCCCCTGTCTGAGTTTTCCTGGGCATGTCACTCCCCCACCACTGCTGGTCTGGACGCAGCGAAGTTCTGGTCCATAGCTTCTAGATCATGCTAGATTGTGCTAGCTCATCGCTATGGCATGAGCTCTGCAAAGACAAGAGCTGGCTGTTCCCCAGCTGCTGCTACAGCACCAGTGCTTAGCAAGCACTCACTCAGTGGTTGCTGAATGAATGAGTGAAGGCAAGGGACTTTGCTTTTTTTCTTCCAGCAGTGACAATTTCAGAGCAAGCGCTATCAAAGAAAATGAATTCGTTGCCATTAAGCAAGCAGTTGTGAATCAGAGTTCCTTTTTTTTTTTTTAATCGGAGGCATCCAGCTTCATGGGCCTTTTCTTCCCATCCATCTTTGTAAGTTGACGATGTCAGCGTCCTAAATAGAAACGTT